GCAAAACCATCGAAACCCATGGCACCCCGTAGGCAAGCAGGGTGTTTCTTTGCATGGGCCTCCACTGTAAGAAATCTGAGGGCACGCTCTTCGTTGACCCCTGGATTTCTCCTCGGACGTTGTGCATGTTTCGGCTTCGCGCGCTTACTTTTCGCAAGGTGATCCAGGATGCTTCTCGATGGTCCTCGTCGAAAAGAAATACACAGGTCCGAGCGGTGCCAAGGGGAGTCCAAGGCGCGCCGCCATCGAACAAGCGCTTCGGAACGGCTGTGCACCGAGAGCGCGACGGCACGTCCTCGGAGGAGAGGGGGGGGTGACGCTCGAGGGGTTCAGGCGCGAGTGGCTGAGGGCGAGCCCGCTAAGAGCGCAGACAGGGGCAAATCGCAAAAAATGCGACACGCGCGCACCGAGAAAGTACTGCTCAAAATGCGCACTTGCGGAGTAGAGAAAGAGAAAGGATGAGAAGAGAGCAGAAGAACAGCGCCCGCCGCTGAGGACAACGAAGGAGGAGGAGGTCGGAGGAGGTAGGAGGCAGGATAGGAGGAAGTAAGACAACGCTGGATGATATAGGAAGAGGAAGGAGGAGGGAGGAGGGAAGCAGCGCTCGCCGCTGAGGAGAGGGGAGAAGCAGCAGCTCGGAGTGGAAGGAGGAGGAGGCAGAAGGAGGAGGAGCCCAGATGTCTTGCAAAATTTAGCTGGATGAGGCTCGCCAAGCCTTGCAGTGCGGGGGGCGGAAGCGGAAAAAGACGTCAATGCGCCGCTCACCAGGACAAGAATACGATTCGCCCCCTCAACGGGACCCCGCGGCAGACCCATGCCGAACTGATCACCCGGTGAGCGACGGAAAGAAAGGGGCCTGACGCGGGATGACATAGCGACCTTATGCGGAGGCTTCAGCGGGCCGCCAGCGCGGCACGCCACTTTGGAAACGAGGGCGCTCACGCGCGACCGTACAGAGCAGCTTACGCGCCAACGTCGGTGAAGACAACCCCGTTGTTCTGGGTCGCTTAGGTGGAGAACACAAAAGGAGACGGGCGCTTGATTTGTTAGCGAGAGCGAGGGTCGAACATGTTGGCGCTGGTTTGTCTTCACGGCACACAAGGCGAGAAATCCGCAGTGGGCACTCCCGTGGAACGCTACCCAAAGGATCCTCGCGGAAGCCGCGTCGGCTGTTGGCGCACTGCTGAGGAAGAACGCTCAAAACATAGCTGACCGTATCTCTTATGACACTCTACTCTCTACTCAGCACTGTATCAACGATGTCAGTCTGCCAAGACGAGATGTCGACAAGACGGCGGCACTGCAAGGATGCAACTGAAGAAGTTATCCGAACGAGCCGGCAACTGCGAAAACGAGGGAACACAGATGCATACAACCTTTTACCGCTCGCAGTCTCGCCCGACACAGTACGCAAGCTGGAACGCATGTGACACGAAAGCGAGCAGATAACAACAAGTCACTGTTTGGATTCAGGCCGGTTTGAGAAGCGGCCCGAAACTTCCTGCACGAATGCGCGCCGCGAAGTCCAGCGCCTCGGTGCTCTCCGTTCGCAGGACGCGCCGAGGAAGGCTCGCGAGAGCACGTTCGCTGGAGGTTCTGGACCCGCTGTCCGAAGCGCACTCAGCCAAACCTGGAGAACTGGTGCCTGCCAGTGGTGACGGTGAGGTGGACGGACCAGCCAGGCGATAGCACGTGCACCATCTCAAGGGAACTGTCGCCAGCAGCTGGAGCGATGGGCTCACATGTATCCGAGTCCGAGCAGTCGGCGCACCTCCTGAGAAACAGAAATGGAAAGAGCTGGAGACAAAAAACACTTCAGCGACGAACAGAAGAGGGCCCTCTGAAACAATACATCACGACCTCACGCCGCGGCTTACGCGGGCCCTCAGCGTGGCACACCGCGCGGAGAAGAGGGCGCTTGCGGGCGACCTTACGCGGGAAGCTCACGCGCGAATGTCCGCGCAGCCGGATGCGTTGTCTGCCCGCCGTTCACATGTGCACGGGTACACGCCTGCCCTCTGACGTCCACGCAGCACGCTTCAGGAACAACGATTGGTCGCAGGTACGCCAGCAAACGCAGCGATGTTATCGGACGGTTCTCTCTCTCTCTCTCTCTCTCTCTCTCTTTCACACACACACTCTCTCTGTCTCTTTCTCTCTCTCTCTCTCTTTTCTTTCTTTCTCTCTCTCTCTCTCTCTCTGAATCTCCCCCTCTCTCTCTCACTCTCTCTCTTCCAACCCCCTCCTCCCCATTGGGGAGCCCCTCGGCCCCCTCCCTCGGGGACTTGGCGGGAAGAGCGTGCAGGGGGGGGGGAGTGCTTCCAAAGTGGCCCTCCATGGCCGACGATGCGCCTGGGTAGCACCAGACGGCCCCAAAACATGGCACACGAGGGCCCAACGTGGTCCAAGACGGCCTCCGGCGTGCCTCCGAGAAGCCCCAAGACTGCCTCAAGACGGCCGCCCGTGGCCACGGCGCCACCCAGGGATGCCCCAACGGGGTCGACATCGGAGGGGAACCTCCAATGGGTCACCATTGGCCTGGCCATCTCGACGTCTCGTTTCCACCGGGCTCCTGCGGCCTCCAGGCGGCGCCAAGATGCAGGCGGGCCACGGCAGGGCCCCAAAAGAATCCCAAGAGGGCCCCACAAGCCCCAAGAACACCCCAAGAAAAGACAAAGAGGGTTCCGAAGGGCGGTGCTTCAGACTCCAAAAGGGGTGCGTGGATTGACTGCCCCCCCCCCGTTTCTGACCGATGGCCTCCAGGATGGCTCCAAGATGTAAGAGAGCCCCCAGAGAGCGCCACGAGGGCATCAAATGCCCCCAGACGAACGCCAGAAGAGCCCGAATATGGTTCCACTGAACCCCCAAGTTTGTCACTGCAGAAGATGATTCGGGCCGATCTGACCCCAACCTCAATTCCACTAGGAGCTGCGTATGGTGTGCCCCTCTGTGTGTTTTGTGTATGCGTATGCGTTGGGGGTGCCCAGTTGTGCGTTACCCATGCTCCTCCGCAAACTTGCTCACGCCCTCTCGTTCAGGAGTCGTGCCGGGATGGGCTGGCAAGGACAAAGCGCAGAACACGTCGCCGACCCCAGAAAAGTAGCATCACGACTGGCTCCTGCACAATGCACCGACGCGCCATATTTCCGTCACCATGCCCCCTGGCACGCATGTCCTGCCTCTTTCTGGGCTTGCTGTGCAGGGAACCCGCCCGTGCATCCACCCCCCCGCGTTCACCACCTTGCCTCCCCGCTGCTCCTAGGGCGCCCTGGCGATTCCCAGGCATCGTAGATGCCCGCTGGATTTCTGGCACGCCTTCCCTGATTGGACACGGAGGCCTCCAAGGCTGCCAAGAGTGCTTCAAAATAGCCCGGCCGCCTCCGAGAATATCCCAAAGTGCGAGAGCAAGTGGATGGATGATGGACCATTCCTCAATAGGATACTCACGAAAAGCGTGGGATTGGATGGTCACTGGTACAGCAAGGAACAGCAACGACATCACACAGGAAGCGCGACGGCCGTCGCAAAACCACCACCACCGTATCGCTAGGCACTGAGTGGGGCGACCGCATGTCCATTCGGAATCTCTGTAGTCTCTCCCAGGGGCCCAGAGCTCCAACTCACGGATATCCTGGGCCTTGTTGCACAAACCGTTGGCATCCTTACGCGATTTACTGCGATACTCGCACGATTGCGACGGAAGGCCCCAGAGGATCTAGAGATCCCCAAGACGGTCCAGGAGGGTCCTGAGTCAGTTCGGGAGCGCTACAAGACGGCCCAAGATAGCTTCAGCACGGCCCTGGAGACCTCTAAGTAGCTCCAATCAACTTCCTAGGGCCCCAAGGGGGGCCCCAAGCAAGAGGCATGGATGATTTTCTCCTACGAAAAAATATGTGAACGTTCTCCCCTGTCGGCATCGCCCCTAAACGCCCCAAGCGGCCCTCGATATATGGCTTCCAAAAGAGCCCCCATACGGCCCAAGAATTGTGACCCCGGATGGCCTTAGACAGTTGGGGATCATTACAGCAATATTAGATAATAGAAATTAATGAAAACGAGCTTGGGTGAACAAAAACTAGCTTCCCGAGATAGCTAAGTAGCTTCTTCAGAGTTTCGGACGCGACGGCAATGCACGCGCGCGCAATGGGCGACGTCGATCCCGCGGCGGCGACGCACCGAATCAAACCGTGGCCCCGCGCGCCAGCAAATCAAACAGGAATGCCACGCGGGTTCTGCACGCGACGCCACGGCGATGGTCGCGCCATGATGTTTCCTCTACCTTTTCCTCCTCCATCCCTTCATGCACCGGCCTTCCCATTCTTCGTCTCGGTTCCTCCTCCCCCTCCTCCTCCTCCTCCTCCTCCTCCTCCTCCTCCTCCTGCTCCCGCCTTCCTCCCCCCCTCCCCTCTCGCTCGCCCTCTTCGCCATGCCACGGTGGCGCCTTCTCCCGCGAACCCCTCGCCCGCCTCTCCCCCGCCCCTCCCCTTCGTCGTCGTCGTCCTCCTCCCCCTCCGCCTCCCCCCCCTCTCCTCAATCCCTGCTCGCCCCCCTCTCCCCCCTCCCCCCCCTCCCCTTCGTCCTCTCCTCCGCCCCTCCCTTCTTTTTTTTTTTTTTTTTTTTTTTTTCCCCCCCCCCCTTTTTTTTTTTCCTTTTTTTTTTCTTTCCCCCCCCCCCTCCTCCCCCCCCCCGCCCCCCGCCCCCACCCCCCCCCCCCCCCCTCGCCCCCCCGCCCCCCTCGCGACCCTCGCGTCAGGCCCGGCCGCGCCGACGCGCGCTGCGCGTTCGAACTGGCTCGGCCGCGCCGGCGCGTTTCATCGTTTCGGCCCAGCCGGGCGGGCGCACCTGGCCGAATCTGCGCGAATCCGGGCCGGCCGCGCTGGCGCGCTTTACAGTCCAGGCCAGCCGCGCCGGCGCGCCTTGCAAATCTGGGCCGGTCGCGCCGGCGCGTTTTACAAACCCGGGCCAGCCGCGCCGGCCCCCCGGACTCCCAGCCCAGAGGTTGAATAACTCTTGCTCTAAGAGTTAACATTTGTCTTGTTACATGCATCTTAGAGTAAGAATCTAGCTTGTTGCGTTTTCCTTCTTTTTTCATTCAGGTGGCGCGGACAGTCGATGGGTGGCGATTTAGGTGATTTCGCATTAAATTTCAAGAACCCGCCCATGTTCTCGACTCGATGTCGAACTTATAAAGCGAAGACGTTCGGCGAAACAAAAAACTTATGACCGCGCGCGCATGAGCTTGTCAACGCGCGATGGTGGGAACTCCACTCAAAAGGACGAATAGCCCGAATAGCCCGCGGGGCGGGCGCGCCCAAACGGGGGGAACGGGGGAGCAGTTGCAAGGAGCTTAGGCTTTGCAGCGATTCCGAGGACACCCCTGGCCCCTGCGTCCCCGCCCGCAACCTTGGCACCCCGCGGGCGATGGCGAGTCGAATTAAGCCAAACGCGCGCGATGGCACCACGCGGCTCGATGCAAATGATCGCACCACCGTTGGATATTTCATACATAATGAATTGAACATTGGACGGCTCGATGCGCAGGATCCAGCCCGTTTTGAAAATGCCGCCCTCCATCCGAAAGCAGATCCGCCGCCCTCGCACCGCGTCTTCGCCCAACGGGGGGACTGGCGGGGCGGCGCAGGCCCCCTGCCCAGAAATGGCAAACGCGCTGCGCCATCCCTTCTTTTCCTCCCTTGGGCGACGACGACGGTCGACAGCCCGCCGAACTCGCGTCGGCCCGCGTGCTTTCCCTCGCTGCTACATGGGGCCGCGCTGCCATCATCATCGCCCAGCGTCGTCGCCCAGCGGGAGGGGCGCGGGCGGGCGGCGCGGGGAGGGCGTGACCCTGGGGTTCACGACCCGCCCTTCATTGGGCACCCCCCTTCCCGCCGCGCTCCACCCCCTGGTCGACGACGGCGGCCGATGACGAGGGCAGCTCGGAGGAGGAGATGGGAGCGGGGGGGGGGGGGCCCGCTGCCGCCAAGCCGTTTCACGCTCGAGGTGCCGACCGCCCGCGCGCTGCAGCGCCGCAGCCCCCCCGGCCTGGGATCCCATTCCCAGGCATGACGCCTTTGCCAAGGTCCCGTTCGAGATCCCGCTCCCGCCCGTCGGCCGAGGCATTCCGCGATTACTGGGGCAGCGAGCCCCCGCCAGCCTTGGCCGAGCATGCAACGGATTGGGGCCGCGGCTGCGGATCATGGCGGGGGATGCCGAGGGAGGGCGCGGTGGAGGAGGAGGAGGAGGAGGGGGGAGAAGGAGGAGAAGGGGGAGGAGGAGCAGGAGAAAGAAAAGGAGGAGGATAAGGAGGAGGTGGACGAAGAGGATAACGACGACAAGGCGAAGCAAGAGGAGGAGGAAAAGGCAGAGGATGAGGGGGATACGGAGGAGAAGGACGAGGAGGATAATAATAGAGAGGGCAGACGAGGGAGTGGGTGAAACAGGGTCATACATACCACGTTGGGTGGCCGTCGAGGGATCATGGAAGAAACAATTCCGAAAGACAACGAGGAAGCTGAGGAGAGAAAGAGAGAGAAAGAGAGAGAAAGAGAGAGAGAGAGAGAGAGAGAGAGAGAGAGAGAGAGGGGGAGAGATAGAGAGGAGAGACGAGAGTGCGTGCGGTGCGTGCGTGAATTCGTTTTTTAAAAAAAGAGAAACAACAGTGAAATGACACACAAAACATGCAGGGCAAACCATGGGAGAGAGAATGCGAGAGAGAGAGAGAGAGAGAGGAGAGAGGAGATGTGGAGAGTGTGGAGTGTGTAGAGAGAGTTGAGAGAGAGAGAGGAGAGAGAGATGAGTGGCAGAGAGATGCAGAGATACATAGAAAGAGGCGCGGGAAAGAGGAGAGAGAGAGAGAGTGAGAGAGGAGGAGATAGCAAAGAGAGAGAGGGAGAGGGAGAGAGAGAGAGAGAAGAGGGAGAGAGAGAGAGAGGAGAGAGAGAGATGGAGAGAGCGCGAGAGAGAGAGCAGAGAGAGAGAGAGAGAGAGAGAGAGAGAGAGGAGGAGGAAGTGGAACAACACCATTGATACGCAGTGAAATTTGTCGCAATCGGACCCTGCAGACGGAATGAGGGCGACAGGGGAAAGGGATGGGGACCTTAAGGAGATAGGGGAATAGGTATAGCGGGGTGGCAGGTGGACCTATTTCGAGCGCACCCAGACTTACGTGAAGACGTGGCCTGCCATGTATGAAGACTGGCGGCGCGAACCAGACGGAGTCTACCGTAAAGTGCCCTCTCGAGGGAGGTGGGAGGAGGAGAGTGGGGGGAGAAGGTGGAGGAGGAGGGAGAGGAAAAGGTAGAGGAGGAGGAGGGGGAGAAGGAGGAGAAGGAGGAAGAGGAAGGGAGGAGGGTTCGAACGGCCCTCGAAAGGTACGTTGGACCTGCCTCCGCGTGACCAGCTCGCAGACCTACCGCGGGCACGACGAGGTTCGGGCCCCGAACGTGCATCCACCAGCCCCAGAGATACCCGCCAGCTTTCAGCTGGCGCGAGATCCCGTCT